TTTCTTAATACACTGCTTCCTTTTCTATCACTATCTGTGTATCCCAAGTCCAGCTCTTCATTTCATGCTGTGGAAGCTTGGAAATCTCAGCAGGTGCCCTCTGGACTCAGATACACACCTGTAACACCATAGCATCTGGTGTACGTGTCGGAGAACAGTGCAACAGCCGCCGCGGTTGAAGCAGAGTGGAACAGAAAAGAGCATGCAAGAAAGATCACAGATAGCCCATTTTTTCCCAGATGCGCACGATCCTTCAGTGTGGGATTCCCTAAAACCAGTTTGGAAAATACATAGCTAGACACTTGAGTCTGCAGTCATCTATGTGGACAGGCTAATATGGGTAGTAGTAGTCCATGTGCTGTGGCTATGATAAATGTCTGTCTACATATTCCAAAGTAGAAGAACCTCCCCTGAAAAGCAAGGTTCCAAGCCTTCTTAGTCACACAATTCTATTACCAGAGCCTGGGCAAGATTGTCTCAAGAGAGTTGGAAGGGATGAGTGTGTGGACGAAGCATTCATTGTAGCATGGTAAGACACCAGGAAAGAAGACATATGTGTTGTCTGAGGACATCTGTGCCAAAAAAGTATTGAGTGAACTAAGAGTAAATGTGTATTTTAATATTGAGCATGCATGCGTGCACACATAGACACACGCATAGATGCACATGTACACAGACATACACACATAGATACAGGCACACACAGAGACACAGACTCACACAGCCACGACACACACAGCCACGACACACACAGCCACACACAACACAGACACACAGACACACACACAGACACACACACACACACGCACATATGCACACACACACGCGCGCGCACACACTTGGCTCCAGGCTTCCAGAGAACAGGGCTGATGGTCTCTTGTCACGGGAGTGCTGTGAAACTTTTTAATAGCAGAAACAGTAAGGCAAAGCTTCTTCAGTGATGCAGAGCTACACTTCCTATTTGAAAGTGAGGCAGAAATGGGCACACACAGAGACAGGCAGACAGGCAATAAGAAGCATTCTAATTAAATTTAGTGAAAATGCTCACCAGGGCTGACAACCTCACAAAGCTGAACTCTGTCGCCACCTGCAGTCCAAATGGTACATTGCAAGTTCCCCATCTTAGGCTTGGGAATTGGCACCTTGGTAGCTAGATATGAGACTGGATTTTTTCTAAGAGGTAGACTTTTGTTCAGAAAGAATCACAGTAAACTATTTATGTATGTAAATGTGAGATCCAAGTTGAAATGCTGTCAAATAATCCAAATGCAAAGGCATCAACTTTTTGATTTTTGCTAGCTGATACCCAGGATAACATGATGTCCATTAAAGCTTTATTAACTTTCCTTTACCTACCCCCCCCCCCAACCGGGATTGCCTTCACTTGAACTAACATGTGTCATGTATCCGGGGATGTTTTGCGTGTGCTTTGTGCAGTTCTTCATTGGGTCGACAGTGATGCTCAAGTTGCTATCTTAAAATAAGAATCTGTTCCAAAGGGCTGGAGAGATGGCTCAGAGGTTAAGAGCACTGACTGCTCTTCCAGAGGTCCTGAGTTCAAGTCCCAGCAACCACATGGTGGCACACAACCATCTATGAGATCTGGTGCCCTCTTCTGTCCTGTAGGTGTATATGCAGGCAGAACGCCATATGCGTAATAAATAAATTAAAAAAAAAAAAAAGAATCTGGTCCAAAAAAAAAAAAATCAGTCAACGTAACATCTGAATCTCGGTTTGAATGATTTAGAGGACTTTGAACATATTGCCCTCTAGGCTAAATCTGTTCTAGAACCTCTTGGAACAAATCCCCTAAATGAATTCCACGGCAGACACACACAGCATGAACACCAGGGTACTCGTGTGTGCGTGTGTGCGTGCACACAGAGCACACCATACACACGTTTCTTGCCCACCCACCGAGATCCTGAGTGCAACCTGCGAGATCTTCACACTGTGTACCAGTCGCTTGTCCTGTCCCCACACCCACCGTTCTGAGATGTAGGATAGCTGATAAGATCTCAAGGCTGCCTCTCCCACACATCTACATAATTAGAACATCTGTGGCCTGGTTGAGAAGATGACATGGTTTTCTAGGGAGGAGAAGGAACTTAAGTACGAGTCTTGGGCTATGACAGAAAAGTCTCCCTGCAGTTCCTGAAGTGTATTTGTGAGTAGTAGCTCCTTCTGTTTTTGATTTTTGATCCCCCAATACCACATCATCATCATTCATTATCACTCATGCCAAGTAATGCTTAAGCGTGCATGGGCAGCCCGTTTATGGCAGTTCTCCAGTGGTTCCGATCCTGGGCAGTCCTAGATGCTTGTGTTATTGTCATACCCAAGGTTCCAGTCTTTCTTTATGCTCTATCCAGCGATTTTTTTGGGGGGGGGCCTTCTTCTTTGCCTTATCCCGTGCACTTCTCCAAGCAATGCTATCTTTGGGTATCTTCCGTCATTCTTTCTCATAACATGGCCAAAGTATCCAAGCGCCATTGCCAAATCCTGTAGTTTACTCCCTTCTGCAGTTGGAGATGTTTCTTAATGTCATCATTGCATAGCCTGTCTCTTCACGTGACACCTAGAATCCTCCCGAGACACGCTATCTCAAACACATTCAGTTGCTTTTCTGAGGCGCGTCTCATTGTCCAGGTTTCGGAGTTGTAAAGAGGACAACTCAATACAAGTGTCTCGTATACTTGTTATGTCTCTCGCTGACCAAACCTCTCCTAGGGAAACCCAATGCAGACAATGCCATAATAGCCAGCCTGCCACTAATTCTACCGGAGCTCTGCAGCACGAGCGTTTTTCTGGATTTTTCTGATTTATTTATTTATTTATTTATCTTGGTGTATTGGGGGTGGCTGTAGGGGATGCACCATGGCCCACATGTGGAGGTCAGAAGACACCTTCTGGAAGTTGGTTATCTCCTTCCATCATACGTGTTCCAAAAATCAAACTCAGATCATCAGGCTCTTGAGTAAAAATGCCTTTTCCAGCTAAGTCATCGCACCCGTCCCCAGTGTGTGTATGTGTGTGTGTGTGTGTGTGTGTGTGTGCTTCCTAGCTCTGGACCTGTCAGGCAAGTGATCTGCCACTAAACTAAGCTCTCAGCCCCAGGCCTGCCCAATCTGAGGCAAGGCATCTGCTTTTTATAGTGCCAGGTCTCCTTCCTCTACACCGTGTGTCCTTGAAGGGCAGAGGTCATGCCTTCAAGATCTTTGGGTCCCCAGCACCTAATGTAAACTTAGCAAATACCAGATACTGAAATTTTTTTTTGTCTGTGCAGAGAATGTGATTCTGCTGGGGCTGCTGATGTGCCTTGGTGTCCCATGGGCACAGATCGCAAGAGGAGGCCAACAAAAAGGAGGGATCATTCTCCAAATGATTAACCAGGGCTATTCTAAATCTTGAGTTCCTACTTCATCACACCAAGGGGCAGCTTGGAGAATGGGCATAGTCTAAGAAAATGAAACTTAGATTAACTAAACAGAAACTGCCAACTAACCTCTAATTAGCAGCTCAAACAATTAGAAACTCCTGACTAACATTTAAGCTGGGACTTTCCACTTTAAGCAATCAAATTTTTCTTCCCCTTGTTTCGAGAACGCCTTCTGAAAATATTCTCCCCACCCTCCAGTAAGCCCCCCTTGGTAAAGCCCTGAACAACTCGTCATTGGTGCTGCCTGACTCATGAATCACTCAGATAAACTCCAACATGCCTAAACTTATGTGCCCAAGTTTATCTCCTAGCTCGTAGCCGAAGGAGATAGATATGCCATTGTGGGAGGGTGACACAGGATCAGGCTACCGGGGAGCCAGAGCACAGAAATGACCTCTGAAGGTACCCGAGTGCGTGGTGAGGATGCAGGGCTGAGTGGAGGCTCCGGTGGCATCTAGGTCAGCTCAGGAATGATCACAGGGGCCCTGCTTGCAATACCAGATGATACCTCTGGCGCTCCCAGATAGGGCCCAAACTCCTTGGCGAGCCATTTGCAATCGGACCCCACCCATCTTCCTGCTTTAATTTTCAGCAACTCCTCAACCGCAAGCCTTGGGTTCCAGCCACATGGATGACACACCATGCCCCAGACGTGCCCGGGGCTCTCCTCCATCACCTCTTCCTGAATTGTTGGTTCTACATAGAGTGCTTGGCCCCCCTCCCCCGTTCACCGACAGGAAGTTTTTTTTTTTTTTCTTTGAGTCCAGGGTTGGATGTCCCTTTGTACAGCCCTGCGCTTCCTGGGCAGCTCTCCTCCCCAGTCTGCCTGGCACTGCTCTCACCTCAGGTCATATCCTGAGTGTCTACCCAGAACCTCATGTTCATCTTCCCAGTCAAGAATTTGCGTCCAATACCTTTTGTGTTCCAGCACATTGCTCTAGACACTGGTGACACGGAAGAGGGCCAGCAGCTCACCTGTCACTGAGCTGGCATAGTACAGGCCGGATACAGTCGTGTTGGGTCAGGGACACGGGGGGGACAGGATAACGTCATACTAGAGCAGGGACACAGAGTTTCTATGAAATGAAAAATTGCTGAGGCCCTTGGACAAAGGGTGCAACTCTAAAAGCTCAGAAGAGTCCAACTTGATTTTTCTGGGGTGTGACCTCCCCTTGAGACAGGGGCTCCACTGGACCCTGGACTCAACATCCAAGAAAATCTGTGGGCGTCTTTCCAAGAAACCACCAGGCACCTTTGCCCCTTAAATTGTGTGTGAAACACAAGTCTTACTATGCCTCTGTCAATAAATCATGGCAAACTTGGTGGCTCGAAACAATGATAGTATATTATATTACAGTTCTGGAGGCCAGAAAAATCTGAAATCCGTGTCAGGAGCTTTCTTGCCTTCTCCAGTTTCTAGAAATCGCTCTCATTCATCATCACAGGTCCCTACTCTGTCCTCAAATTTAACAGCAAAGTTTACTGTAGTCTCTCTCCGACTCCTTCCTTCTCATGAGGCCTCATATGATTTCATTGGGCCCAGATGAACCATGGAGGAAAAGCCCCTTTTTGCTTTTTAATGTAACATCCCTTACAGATTCTGGGGATTAAGACGTAGACGTCTTTGTAGACGATCGTTCTGCCTTCCACAGACTCTGAAGAAAGGGCTCCGTTTGTGGGCGCTGGGTTGGACCGCAGTCCGGCGCCTCCTTACCGACTCTGTTCAAAGTAGAACTCAGTACGGGTAGAGGGGTCAGTCTCTTTGGTAAGCTGCACTGGCTGCTGGGGCTCAGCGGGGCCACAGAGGAACCAGCCAGGGAAAGCAGCAGCCTCGAGCCTGAACGCAGAGCCCAAGCTTCTCTGGAAGAAGGTGAAGCGGGTGGTTTGTTCGCCACCTTTGTATAGGTCCTCGATGCTCACATCCTGTGGGGAAAAGAGAGACAGCTATGAGATGAGGTGTTTCTGATTGGATGTCAGCCCTTGATGCCTCAGAAACTTGGCCAAAGGACTCAATAGGAAAGTTTGACCCAGGGACGTTCCTTCTGTAGATCCCAAAAGGTGAGAATTTCCTTACTGGAGAGATAGGGGGCTAGAGAGGGGACGTTCGGGTGCAAAGATGCATTTGCAATCTGACATCCTGGGCAAGGCTGATCGTGTCCTTCAGGATAAGGAGGGGTCTCTCACCTCCAGCTTCAGGGAAGGCCCCTCTCTTGTCTCAACACATGCCAGGCAGCAACTTCCTCCCTGGATCCCCAGGAAGATGGGCACCTTGGAGCGGTCCAGGCCTCGGTTAGGAAGGATACAGATCTTCTCTAGGGGGTAAGACAGAATTCGAGTCAGGCAGTAAGGGGACCCCAGGTGGAAGTAGGTTTTTTTTTTTTTTTTTTTTTTTTAGCAAGCTATGGCTCAGCAAGGAGCAGCTGTGCCTGGGCACACCTGGCCTGATTCTGTATGGAGACTGCAGGGTGAGTAGAACTCCCCAGGGCAGGCTGAAGCTGCCCTTCACCTCTTCTCATTATCACGGGGGCAGCATTCTCATATCTCTAAAGACGTGAGAGAGGAAAAGAATCAAGGGCCTGTAACGCGGAGATTGGACGGGTCCCGGGAGAGAGCCCCCCCCACCCCCACCCCATGCTCACCTGCACTGCAGTTCTCTGAATCAGGGTCTCCCACCAGGAGCTGGCCATTCCGTGTGTACAAAACCTTTTGATGCGCGTCTTTGATTCTGAAATAGGAGGGCAAGGTTAATGAGCTGCTGCTGCCAGAGATTCTTGTGTCTTCCAATCCCTGGGCTCTGGGCCACCACACTGAGCCTTTGGTGAATTTTCTATTTCCGGAGAGGAGTGGGGACGCTGCTCCCCTAAGGGCAGAAGCAGTCTCCACTCCAGAGAAAGAGCAGGTTTCCTAGGCTCCTAAGTGTCAGAGGCTCTCTGGAGTGACAGTGGCCAGTTTCTCATGAAGAGATAGAGATGTTTTCGCGGCTGTCTGAGTACTTGCTTTGAGACTCGGTTATCCCGGGGACACGGTGGAATTTGGAACCTATCCCAGCTTTGGAACCACTCAGTAATGAAGAGACTGAGGATGCAATAAGTGTGATTTACTTTGTAAACTTAAAAATAAAAGAGTGAACTCTGAAAACAAAGTCTGTCACTAGGTGCTCACCCCACTCTGGCCATGGTGAGGTACACTCTGGGTGGACTGAATCTAGGAGGCCAAATCAGAACTAGATCAGGGCCGGATTAGTCACTGGAGATGGCTGTGGATCTAATGACCTGCCTGGGAGGGTAAGTATGCACCAGGGAAGCTGGGAGAAACTGTCGTGCATGCGAGACATCAAAACCATGCCTGTTATTAGCCTAGTTGCCAGGCTGGTTTCAGAGATGCCCATCAATTGCTCTCAGAGCCCAGGGAGCTCCCAATACCTTGGACCAGCGCCACCACCTCCAGGAGCCTGGTCTGACTGTAACAGCTGGTAATGGCTGTTTAGAAACAGCTTACCTGCTGTGTTTAAAGCAGGCTCATTTGTACATTAAGATCAAAGGTCTGTGAAGATCTTGCCACTTGGCAGTCTTCTCAGCCTTTGGGAGCTGGGACGTGACAGTTCACCTCCTGGATGCATTCTGTTTAGACATCACTAACTAATTGTCAAGGAAGCAGTGTGGTGGTAAATACTTGAATTCAGCACTTGGGAGGCAGAGGTGAGCAGAGCTCTGTGAGTTCGAGGTCGCCCCGAATGTACATAGCAAGTTCCAGGCTAGCCATGGCTGTAGCGAAACTTTCCTTCCTTCCTTCCTTCCTTCCTTCCTTCCTTCCTTCCTTCCTTCCTTCCTTCC